CATCCCTGCCATGGCCATGACGCATCCCAGACTGGGCCTCCACACTGAGTCCCAAGAATTGCCTAGAAATGCTTGAAAATCAGGCTGTCTCTGCCACGGCCAGGATGCGTCCCTGACTTGGCCTGCACACTGTGCCCACAAACTGCCTAGAAATGCACGAAAATCAGGCTGCGTCCCTACCTGGCCAGGATGCGTCCCAGACATGGTCTATACGCCATGCTCAAAAACTGCCCAAAATTAGCTAAAAATCAGGCTCTATCCCTGCCGTGGCCCGGACGTGTCCCTGACATGACCTGCACACCGTGACCCAAAAACTAATGAGAAATGCCTAAAACTCAGGTTGCGTCCATACCGCGTCCTGGACAGCACCAGCACACCATGTCCCAGAAACTGCCTATAAATGCCTGGAAATCAGGCCGCAACCCAGACGAGTCCCGAACATTGCGTGCACGCCGTGTCCAAGAAACTACATAGAAAAACGTGAAAATTAGGATTTGTCCCTTCAGCATCCTAGAATGGCCAGCACACCGTGTCTCAAAAACTGCCTGAAAAGCAGGCTGCATCCGTGTTGCGAACCAGACGCGTCCCGAACATTGTCTAAAAATACCTGAAAGTCTGGATGCATCCCTGCCGCATCCTGGTTATGGCCTGCACATCGTGTCCACGAAACTGCCCAGAATTGCTTGAAAATCAAACTTCGTCTCCGCCTTGCCCATGACAAGTTGTGAACATGGCTTGCACATGGAGTCCCAGAAATGCCTGAAAATTAGGCTACGTCCCAGCCCGTCCCAGACATGGCCTGCACACCGTGCCCAAAAATGGCCTACAAATGCCTTAAAATCAGTCTGCGTCCCTATCAAGGCTAGGACGTGTCCCAGACCAGGCCTGCACACTGTGCTCAAAAACTTCCCAGGAATGCCAGAAAATCAGGTCCCTGATGCATCCTGGTCATGGCCTGCACACCGCGTCCCAGAAACTACCTAGAAATGCCTAAAAATTAGGCTACGTCTCTGTCGCGTCCTGGACATGGCCTACACACTGTGTTCCAAAAATTGCCTAGAAATGCTTGGAAATCAGGCTGCATCCCTACATCAGCCCAGACGCGTCCCGAAAATTGCATGTACACTGGGTCGAAGAAATTTTCTAGAAATACGTGAAAATCAGGATGTGTCCCTACAGATCCTAGATATGGCCTGCACAACGTGTCCTAGAAACTACCTAGAAATGCCAAGAAACCAGGCTATATCCCTACCGTGGCCCAGACGCGTCCCGAACATTGCCTGCACACTGTGTTCTAGAAACTGCCTAAAAATACCTAAAAGTCAGGATGCGTCCCTGCCGTATCCTGGACATGGCCTACACACCGTGTCTTAGAAACTGCCCAAAATGCTTGGGAAGGTGCCTGGGCCCCTAACATGGCCTACACACCGTGTCCTAGAAATGCTTGAAAATCAGGTTGTGTCCCTGTCGCGGCCAATACACATCACAGACATGGCCTACACTCAGTATCCCAGAAAACTGCCTAAAAATGCTTGAAAATAAGGCTGTGTCATGTCCTATACCTCGTGTCCCAAAAGCCCTAAACCCTAAATCATAAGCCCTAAACCATAAACCCTAAGCCCTAAACCTGGCACTAGCTCACATGCTCAAACCCAATCATCTGTTCCTCCAGTTGCTCCTTCCATTGCTACAGCCTTACCAGTTATAAGTGCTGCAGATCCAGCTACATCTACCACTCCTTCAGCTCCTGCTTAGGTTATCAGTCCACCTATCACTCCATTTTATGATCCTATGTTGGATGAGATCTTGAAGAGGCCACAAATACAGAATTCTACAGTAGGCACAGTCAGCAGATGTTCTTACATTCCAGGCCCGACACCGGGTTGGGTTCAGGCACCTAGTCACACTTCTCCTCCTCTCGTTTGTCATCAGAATGTGGAGGCATCTATTCCATCTTTGCCGTCAACTCATTCAGATACAGAGGGCTCATCTCAGATTGAGGTTCACCAGCAGGGACCCTTTCGGAGATCTTCTTCTGATGACTTGGTGGATTTATGTGAGAGGACAGAGGATGATGGATTTATCCCAGTTGTTCGGAAGAGACATCCACGGGCTACTGATACTCCACATCCGGGCAGAAGGATCACTCGGAGTCAGTCACATGACACCTCTTCACATTCCCTTTCTCTATGAGTGCCATCATTTGGAATGTGAGAGGTGTAGCTAGTGTAGCTACTCGTTGGTGCTCGAACAAACTTATACAGCTTCATCAGGTTTATCTTCTAGTTATACTGGAACCTTTTGTTCTGCAGCACACTTTTGCATATACATGACACTAACTGCGCTTCGACATGGAAGCTTAGAATGAATCGAATAAGATCTGGTTTTTTCTGGAATTCGGGGACTAATGTTACTGTTATTGTTGATCATTCCCAGTTTCTTCACGTTAGAGTTGAGGATCCCAGACTAGCACGTCCTATCTATTTGACTCCAATCTATGCATCATGCGATGCTACTATCAGGAGGGATTTGTGGACGGGTCTTCACCACATCTCCCTCGATATGGACGATCCTTGGCTAGTTGGGAGAGACTTTAATGTTATTACACATGATGGAGAGCGCACTGGTCATAATACCCGTGATCGTGGCACTACTGCTTTCTCTGATATGATGTTAGACTGTGGTTTAGAGGATGCGGGTTTCATTGGAAATCGATATACTTGGACCAATGGTCGGGTTAGAAAGAGATTGGATAGGGTACTTATTAAGTCTACAGCTGCAGCTTTTTGTAGATAGCTTACAGTGAGACACTTGAATCAGACTTTATCTGATCACTCTCCTTTACTGCTTCAGTGGGTTTCTGATGATGATTTGGGGCCTAGACCGTTCAGATTCCTCAATGTTTAGACCAAGCACCATGATTTTTTAGCCTTTGTCTCCCAGAAGTGGTCGCTCCCTACTCATCTCACAGGGATGACCGCTCTTTGGGAGAAGTTCTTCAGGCTGAAATAGGGTCTACGCTGGTGGAACCGACATGTATTTGGAGATATTTTTCAGCGGGTGCATGATGCTGAGGTTGGGATTGATGAGGCTGAGATAAAATATGATAGAGATCCCACACCGGAGCACCGCAACTTACTACATCATACCCAGGCAGGTTTGAACTGGACCTTATCTATTGAAGAGGGCTTTCGGAAGCAAAAGGCCGGTTCACGTTGGGTATGTGAGGGTGATCACAATACTCGATATTTTCATGCGATGCTTCAGGGGTGCAGGATCAAATCGCGTATTAGGTCTATCAGGACACAGGCGGGGGAAGTTTTATCTACTCCGATTGATATTCAGACTTCGGCTATTGCATTCTACCAGGATCTCTTATCTGCTCCTCCACAGCCCTTGGATCACATCCGTTCTGATGTAATTCCCAAGCTCTTGACGGTGGACGATAATTTGGCACTAAACCTCCCCCCTTGATGTATGAGGTACGAGAGGCGATTTTCAGTATTGATGCCGACAGTGTCGCTGGCCCAGATGGCTTCTCATCTCTATTTTTCCAACATTGTTGGGATATTATTCAGGAGGATGTTTACAGGGCAGTATTGGATTTCTTTGATGGAGGTCATTTTCCACGGGGTTTTACTGCTACTTCTATTGTCTTGCTCCCTAAAAAGGATGGTGCTTGCAGATGGACTGACTTTAGACCTATCAACTTATGCACGGTGTTCAATAAGTTTATTACAAAGCTTTTGAACACTCGGTTAAGTACTCTGCTACCCCGCATTATCTCCCCTCCATAGAGTGGTTTCATACTAGGTCGTCTGATTGGAGACAATGTTTTACTAGCTCAGGAGCTTCTTTACACTTTGGATGATAGAGTGCGAGGGGGTAATACTATGCTGAAGTTAGACATGGCTAAAGCATATGATCACATGGATTGGGGTTTCATTTATTCTGTATTGGAGGCTTTTGGATTTGATCAGATCTGGATTGACAGGATTAGACGATGCATTTCGGAGTGTCGTTTCTCTATACTTCTAAATGGCCATCCATATGGTTTCTTTACTTCCTCACGAGGACTCAGACAGGGTGATCCTATCTCTCCATCCTTATTCATCATAGCGGCAGACTACTTCTCACGCTTTCTCACTCAGAGGTTTCAGGAGTATCCTAGTATGTGCTATCGACACGGAGGTAGTACTCTTGTTTCCCATCTCTCATTTGCTGATGATATGATCATTTTTGCCAACGGTCAGAAACAGTCTATCAGGAGGGTCCTAGACTGCTTGGAGCACTACGAAGGGGTTTCTGGCTAGTTGGTCAATAGAGACAAGAGTGGTCTAATACTATCCAGACAGGCATCCACTAGTCAGATCAGACGACTGGAGAATTTGACTGGGTTTAGACATCAACAGCAGCCTTTTAGTTACTTGGGAATCCCACTATTCAAGGGGACTAAGAGGAGCTTTCTTTATGATGACCTTATCCAGAAGGTCAGGGACAGGATCTCAAGTTGGGCTTCATGATTATTATCACTTGGGGGTCGTATTACCTTACTGAGGTCAGTACTCTCCTCCATACCATTGCATCTTCTTCAGATTATGCAACTGCCCAAGGTAGTACTTAAGAAGCTTGAGAGCATCTTTGCCCGATTTCTATGGGATTCTAAGGATCAAGTTCGACGCCTACATTGGAGGAGTTGGAAGGAGATTTGCCTTCCAACAGATGAGGGAGGCCTCGACCTCAGGAGATTACAAGATGTGGTGGACACCTTCTCCATGAAGCTCTGGTGGTTGTTTCGATCTCAGAGGTCACTTTGGGCTCAGGTTTTATTGGGCAAGTATTGTATGGGAACACATCCTTCACTTACAGTAGTTCCCAGTTAAGCTTCCCCTACCTGGAAGAGGCTGAAATTAGTTGGAACACAGACAGATCCACACATTGCCTGGCATCTTGGAGCCGACATGATTTTCTTCTAGCACGATTGTTGGATAGGCGAGACCATGTTGGCATCCCTATTTCCACACAGACAGCACACGTCTGCGAGGGTACAGGTTTTCTTTGATGACACTGGGTGGGATTTTGGGCGATTATTGCAAACTTTTCCTCCCCAAATGGCGGAACAAATAGGAGCGATACCTCTATGTATAGATGCCCCAGACCGAATTGTTTGGAGGATTACATCAAATGGTAACTTTACCACCAAACCAGCATGGCAGCTTGTCCGTTCAGTTCGCCAGCCTGAAGATTCGTATCGATTACTATGGAGCCCAATTTTTCCTACCACTATTTCATTCTTCTGTTGGAGACTGTGGTAGGATCTCATTCCTATAGATGTGATTATTCAGAGGAGGATTGGATTTCAATTAGCTTCTCATTGTCAATGTTGTTCTGAGATTGAGACCATCAATCATATTTTCACAAGCAACAGAATCTCTGACCAGGTATGGCAGCACTTTGGAGACATCTTTCTGATACCTATGACTTCAGGAGAGGGGGTTCGACAAAGGTTCCAAAGATGGCGGTATTCTGGGCAACATGTTAGTCGTGGGCACATTTGTACTATCATTCCTCTATTGATATTTTGGTTTCTATGGACTGAGAGGAATGATGCAAAACATAGGGGTGTTCATATGGTGGCCAACTGTATTATTTGGAGGGTCTATCGCATGATCTCTTTTCTTCATATGGCAGGACTGTTTCGAGTTGTGCATTGGCGAGGGGATGTGTCACTTGCACCCTTTTTTGGCATTTCTATGACCCATCCTATCCCACCACCACCAATTATGGTTGTTTAGCGTACTCCACAAATAGGATCCTATAAGATCAACACTGACGGATGCGTCAAGGATGGAATTGCGAGTGGTGGAGGCATCATTAGGGACCACACAGGATACCGCATCAAGGCATTTTCAGCATCGTATGGCACATGTTTGATTTTGGAGGCTGAGCTCAGAGCCATACTAGATGGGATTTTATTGGCCAAAGGACTTGGGATATCAGCTATTTGGATTGAGGTAGATTCAACGCTGGCCATTCACTGCATCACCAAAGGCGGAGGACCATGGACGATTCAGGGTATTCTGAGACGGATTAGAGACTTCATTTGCTTTGACAGAGACACAGTTTCTCAAATCTACAGAGAAGGTAACTAGGTTGCAGATTCATTTGCTTGAGAGGGTTGGGATCACCAGTATTACCAAGAATATAGACCACTTGACCTACCTCGACAGATTAGGGCATTGGTACAAATCGACAAACATGGATTGCCCAGCTTTAGAGGTTTGTAGTTTAGGCTATCATTATTTCATTTTTCTTGTACAAGGGAGTAGTACTTCCTCATTTACTTTGTTCATTTTTAATTTTTCATTTGTTACACTGTTGCTTTTCGGAGGTCAGGTTTATGCCCCCCCTCCTTCCCTGTATTCTTGATTTTTATGAAATAAACATGGTTGGGGAACCCTTAACCCCCATCGATCTTCCTTGGTGGACCCTAAAAAGTCATTAAGGATGTGTGGATGTTTTTACTTAAAAAAAAAAAAAACCTTTAGCCCTAAATCGTAAACCCTAAGCCCTAGACCCTGGACCCTGAGCCTTAAGCCTTACACCCTGAACCCTGGACCTCTCGTACATCTGCAACAACTCCATATGCAACAATGGAAGGCTATTGAAATAATTGGAACCTCCAGGAATTCTTGGCAGAACCTAAACCTACATCAATGTCTGACTTCACTAACTTACCAGATGAAATACTAATCGACATTCATCGAAAACTGTGTGCTGCAGCCAAACATTTCATCGTATTTCCAGGGTTTTTCTAGTGCGTCTAGCATTATCACGTATTTCCCAAGCAAACTACTATTACTTCCAGAGCGAGGACGCCATTGTTGGATATGTTGCGCTGGTGGAGTATGATGTGAAAAACCTGGGGATACCGCTTTATACAACTGTTAGTAGGGATGCTAAAATTGTCCAAGTACTTTGGACTAGTCAAGTGATAATGCAAATGTCCAAAGAAGAAGTTGACTCAGAATAGAAGAAATTGGAAAAGTTGGAGGAAGAGGGATTATTATTCTCATGAATTATTTTTGTTGAATCGTTTTGCAGTCCGTAGCATGTTTTCAAGCTAGAGCTGTATTAGCACAGAAAGTGGAATTCCTTACTATAGAAGTTTACTTTTCTCAGCTTAAAAAGATCAATAAGTGTAGCATAAATGCTACAGTTTCACGTTCAAAATGTTGCTCTCTACCTTTTTTGACATGAACCTCACAAAAAGCATTAATGAATTTTTGTTGATTGTCTTGTCAAAAAAAAAAAAACCCTGAACCCTAGACCCTAAACCCTACACCCTGAACCCTAAACCATTCTATTCTATTGTCTATAAAATTACTAAAATTTTATTTGAAAATCTATCGATTTTTTGCCTAAAATGGCTTCATTCAAAAATATTTTCTTATTTTCGGCCTTTGTGTTTTTGCTGTGTTCTTTCTGAAGTAAGAGAGTTCGTAGTAGGCGATGAAAATAATTATAGGCAGTTCCATCTTCAGTTGATGAGTTCAACAAATGGGCTAAGAAAAGTCCTATTCAGATAAAATCAGGTCCATTTTTCTTCATTAGTGGAGCTAAAGAACATTGCCAGAAGGGTCAAAAGCTAAAGGTTATGGTTCAGTCCGACAAACATGGCTCCAACCACCTATCTACAGCGCAGGCACCTTTTCCTTATCATCATCGTCACCACTAGCATGCACCATCCCCAGCCCTAACTAATGGTGGTACTGGTGTGAAGGCGACGGTGGGTTTTATTTGTGGTACTGCGACGGTGGGAAGTTTGGTTTTGTTATGTAGACTAGTTTTATTATTCATGAGTTGTAACATTGAGATACAATTTATTTTCATTATTCTTTGTCACGTTTATATTTCATGCTTTTAATTCTAACTTAATTAAAAAAATAAACCCTAAACCCTAACTTGGCCTGCACATCGTGCCCACAAACTGCCTAGAAATGTCGAAAAATCGGGCTGTGTCCCTATCTGGCCAGGACGCGTCCCTGACATGGCTTGTACACCGTGCCCAAAAATTGCTCAAAATTACTTGAAAATCAGGCTCTGTCCCTACCATGGCCCGGATGTGTCTCTGACATGGCCTGTACACCGTGTCCAAAAACTGCCCGAAATTACTTGAAAATCAGGCTGTCCCTGCCGTGGCCTGGACGAGTCCCTGACATGACCTACACACCGTGAACCAAAAACTGACGAGAAATGCCTGAAAATTAGGCTGCTTCTAGGACATGGCCTACACATCGGGCCAGAAAAATTCCCAAAAATGCCTGAAAGTCAAGCCTTGCCGTAGCCATGTATTGTCCCAAATTTGGCCTACACACTGTGTCCCAAAAACTGCCCAAAATGCCTAGGAACGTGCCTGCACCCCTGACATGGCCTACACACCGTACTTGCTTTGTTTGGTTGAAAATCAGCTTGTTTCTCTAACGTGGACGGGACGCATCCCAAACATTGCCTGCACATCGTGCCCACAAACTACCTAAAAATGCCTGAAAATCAGGCTACGTCCCTGTCGTGACCAGGACGCATCACGGACATGGCCTACACACGGTGCCCTAGAAACTACCTTGAAATGCCTAGAAATTAGGCTGCATCCCTGTCGTGGTCAGGACGTACCCTGGACATGGCCTGCACACCGTACCTAAAAATCGCCCAGAAATGCCTGAAAATCAACTTGCATCCCTGCCATGGTCCGGACGCGTCTCGAACAAGGCCTGTACACCGTGTCCCAAAAACTGCCAGAAATGCCTGAAAGTATAGCTGCATCCTGGACATGTCCTACACACCGTGCCCACAAACTGCCTAGAAATGCTTGAAAATCAGGTTGCATCTCTGCTGTGGCCAGGACGTGCCTCGAATATGGCCTGCACGTCGTGTCCCCGCAACTGCCTAGAAATACCTAAAATTTGACTGCGTCCCTGCCGCTTCCTCGACATAGGCTACCCACTGTATCCTAGAAACTACCTAGAAATGCCTTGAAATTAGGCTATATCCCTGTCGCGGCCAGGACGCATCCCGAACATGGCCTGCACACCGTGCCTAGAAAACTGCCTACCTGCCATGGCCCAGACGCTTCCCAAACATGGCCTTCACACTGTGTCCCAAAAATTGCCTAGAAATGCCTGAAAGTTAGGCTGCACCCTAGACATGTCATGTACACCATGCCCACAAATCGCCTAGAAATGCCTGAAAATTAGGCTGCATCCCTGCCGTGGCCAGAATGCGTCATGGACATGGCCTGCACACCGTGTCCCCGAAACTACCTAGGAATGCCAAAAAATCAGGCTACATCCTTGTCGTATTGAGGACGTATCCGAATGTGGCCCGCACACCGTACCCCAAAAATAGCCTTGAAATGCTTGGGAACATGCCTGCATCCTTGACATGGCCTGACACCGTTCTGCCTTTGTGTGCCAGAAAATCAACCTGCGTCCCTGACATGGCCTGTACACCACGCCCAGAAATTGACTAGAAATGAATGAAAATTAGGCTGCATCTCTGGCGCGACCAGGATGCTTGTAGAACCCCAAATAATTCTAGACACCTTATGTTGGAAAAATTGATTTCAATTAGTTGGTTTGACCAACTTTTGACCAATTAATTTAGTGGGTCCCGTTAATCGAAAAAAAATTTCTTTGGCCAAATGTGTTCTACTCCATGAATAGATTAATATTGTAGATTTATTTTCTCAAAACCAATTTAGGGTGAATGAGAAATTAACTCCAAAAGATGCCCACTTGATGTTGAAATAAAATAGGTGGGAAATTAGAAAATATCAATCCCACATAGGAAAACTAGAAGAATATAAACTAGAAGAATCCCAAACTTGAGCTATATATGGTGGTTTATATTCTTCTAGTTTTCCTATGTGGGATTGGTATTTTCCAATTTCCTACCTATTTTATTTCAAAATCAAGTGGGCATCTTTTGGCCTTAATTTCTCATTCACCCTAAATTGGTTTTGAGAAAATAAATATACCATATTAATTTATTCATGGAGTAGAACACATTCGGCCAAAGAAATCTTATTTTCGATTAACGAGACCCACTAAATTAATTGGTCAAAAGTTGGTCAAACCAACTAATTAAAACCAATTTTTCCAACACCTTAGTGGCACTAAGACATGAATATTGAATGACTAAAGTATACTTCAGATTTTTAGTCTCATTTGTGATCCATTTTCGACATAGGAAACATTCAATTTGGAAAATGATATCTAAATAAAAGTTGTAGCTCTTTGAGTTAGCTTTCCAACTCACTTTGAATTACCTCAATCGGATATCGGGAGAAGAAGTTATGATAGAAAAACTGAAGGCTGTGAAGTATCAACCGGACTACAACCAATCGACCGAAACTGCCTGAAATTAAAAATTCTCGTTTTTCTCTAGAATTTAAATATTTATTTTCATCAATTATTTTCTCAAAGGGTCACCCACATTTTTTGCAATAAAAAACCCACTAAATTGAAGCATTTAACCTCAAACTTAAATGGCACCCATATTTTCTCTCTTAAATGAAATTTGACCCTTCATTTGCTTTAAGTTATGGGATATTTACCTATAAATAGAGACCTCATTTCACTCATTTTTTCTCACACCAAAAGCAAGAGCTTTTACATACTAAAGAAAGAGTTTCCAAGAGAGAAAAAGAGAGGGAGGAAAACTATTTTTCCTAGAAGTTTAAGAAGTGTTTTCGAGCATCAATTCTCAACGGTTTTCAAACATCCAAGGAGTGCATTTCTTTCAACGTCCAAGTTTCATCGAAGTTTTCAATCCATGTTTTCAAAGTTTCAAAAACATCAATCAAGGTAGGTAGAGGTGCAATGTTTTTAATCGTGTTAAGTTATAAGTTTCGATTCATGTTAATGTTTGTATGTCAAATGGTACTCCGGTATGGCATATCCCTCTATGTTAATGGTTGTACGTCAAATGGTACTCCGGTACGGCATACCCCTCTATGTTGAAGAAATGTTTGTATGTCAAATGGTGCCCTCGGGTACGGCATACCCCTTCATGTCAAATGGTGCCTCCGCGTACGGCATGTATGAAAAGTTATAAAGTTAATGTTTTGAAATGTATAGCTTGATCACGAATG